GAATCGACCTCGGACAGAAGCTCGCTCGCTCGCTCGCCGCTCGGCCGTCGCGATAAAACGTAAGCGCGCTCGCGCGTTTTTCGCTGCGAGCCGCCTGTCGTGGGACGTGTCGAGAAAACATTGTAGCCGAGGCACGGTAGGTGAAGCTTCGAATCGTTCTAATGTTGGACAACCTTTGACGCGTTGACACTTTGAAAACCTTCGGAGTTTTAAACTTGATGACTTAAAAGGAAGACTTCTGGGAGGAAGCTTGAAGGAAGACTTGCAAGGACTTTCAAACTTGAAGACTTAAAGGAAGATTCTTAAGAGGAAATTTGAAGGAAGACTTGCAAGGGACTTTGGAATCTTTGGGTCTGCTCCTACCTTCAAACTTGAAGAACTTGAAAGGAAGACTGTTGAGAGGAAACTTGAAAAGGCTTTGAAATCCTTGGATCTGCTCCTACTTTCAAACTTAAAAGGAAGACTCTTGAGTAGAAAACCTGAAGGAAGACTTGCAAGGACTTTCAAATCCTTGCATCTGTTCCTACTATCAAACTTGAAGACTCAAAGGAAGAGACTCTCAAGAGGAAACTTGAAGGCAGGCTTGCAAACAAAGACTTTGAAAGTCCTTGGATCTATTCCCCTACTTTCAAACTTGAAGTACTTAAAGAAAGACTCTTGCGAGTAGAAAACTTAAAGGAAGCCTGGACTTACAAAGGACTTTGAAAAAATCCCTGGAGATCTGTTCCTTCAATCACAAAATGACTGAATGTTACAAAGAAAGGACATTTTGCAAAGATTACAACAGAAGCATTTCAAGATCTCCCAGTGGACTCACACAACCAAAAGACTCTACCAGACCCTCAGCATCTCAGACACTAAATACTCAACCTTCACAAACAGTATATATACAAATATCCAAAGCACCGAGCACCAGCGAGAAAGGCCTCAGCAGTAAGCAGCCCTCTGCTGGCAGAGCGAGAAAGGTGTCGCCGCACAAACGTAATTCGAATCGCAGAATTGGCGCAATGCAACTCGGCCGGAGTAAAAAAGTCGGCTCCCGGACAAAGCGCGCACTGTAGAGGATCGCCGGCGGCTCGCGTTCCTTCGATCAATTAACCTCGGAAAAGCAGAATCGCGGCGCCTGGCGTCTCGCGTCCGAATGAATCACCGTCGCGCCGATTCGAGGGCCGGCGCGCGCGATTCCTCGGGCCTCTCCGCCGCTGCACGCGTCGCGTCCAGCTCCGGAGGAAGATCATCCGATCGGGCTATTACATAAAAGTTACCGTTTCCCGTGATCGACGATCCGATACGCGTCTAGGCGCGGCAACGCGAGGCGAAGCGGCTCGCCGACTCACTCGGCTCGAGCGCGTTCGTCTTTGCGCGCCGATTTCTTCGGCCGCCGCGAGGAAGACACGGATTTAACTTCTTAGGCACGACGCGACACTATTGTGGCTCGGTCACTACCAATATGTCACAGATCATATCCAATTGTATTACTATCAAAGTGAATCGTTGAAGTTAAATTACGTGTATCGTATCTTTCAGAAAAATTATAATTTAATCATCGAAAACACGTTAAGCGCCATGTCAGTCACTGGTGACTGACGCTTCCGAATGACTAAAGAACAATCGTAACAACAAGACAACCGATGTGAAATAAAAATGTTTAAGGCAGCTAAGTTGCAACGCCAAACGATTCATAATTATTCCTACTTTTCTTTGCTACGAAAGACAAACTCTATGGGGAAACGCTTAAGATTTTCGTGGCGCTTAACGTGTTAACGCTCCGTTGACGGGCGCGTCGAGAACGTACGAAATCCTCGGCGGAGAGAGGCGAGGCGTGTTCATCGAACTTCGAAACGAGGGAAAAGAGTGCGATGAACTCTTATCGTTCGCGAGGGTAATCCCGGAAGAGACGGCCGGTTCAGTTATTGCAGAAAGAATGAATACAATCGCAGCTGCGATTCGTTCTCATCTGTTATTTTAATTCTCGAAGCTATGGCGAGGAAGCAATTAAAGTTCATCTGGAAATCAAATCCAGCGTGCTAATTCTTTCGTTTGCATTTAGACGCGCTTCGAAGAGGATACAGCCGTGCCTCCGGAATTACCCTAGATTATTCGCTGTTTTGTATTCTGTATGAAAGTTTCATGTTTCTAAAACGTTCCTCTTGAATCGGTTGAGCAGAGTCCCGATGGACCGGAATCGTAGGACGAGCACGGCGAAGTTCCGTGATGTAGGATTGGGTCCGTCGAAGGTGGTTCCTCGGTGCTCGCCGACAGGCCCCCCGTCGACTTCTCTGTTGATCAGCTGTTGGACCACCAAGGTCGTCGATAGTCGCCCGCACCCGATGCCGATTTCCGTTGCCGGAAACCATCGCGTTCCTCTTCGTCCCAGTGTCCGGTTCTCGGTGGATTCTGCGAAGAGAGCGAGGAACGTTAGAATCGATTCCAGAGGATGGTGAAACTATAAAATTTGATGTTCTCAACTTGTATAATGCGTCGGTGTAATATTGAGATGAAGAAGCTTCGTTTCTCAATTTACTTGCGATCTCTAACACTAGAACTACCGGTCGCTTAAACTAACTTCTACAATATTCTTTATAAAAACCATAAGCGTTCGTCTACTGAGATTTCAATTGAGTTGCATTTCAGTTTTCCTATTACTGAATTAGTTCCGTTGATTTTCCTAGAAGTATCTGTACCTTTTCAGTAATCGTACAAAAGGAAATCAGGAATAAGTCATTGAGCCATCTGGTAGTTGTAGTGTTAATTTAGCAAATATCTTTAACTTATCAGAAAATGTTAAGATATTTCTAACGAAAAACCTCCGAGTGCAAAGGGTCAATTGTTCATAATGTTCATTTACGAAAATGAAGGCTCTTTATGGAATCTTTCGAGTAAACTCACGAGAAAACGGCTGTCCGCTAACAGGTTGCCGACCCGGGCTCTAGACGAAAGAGAGACGTTAGGGATCTCGGTGACCCGCAGTCAGCTGCACGACTAGAATTTCGGAGAAGCCTGATTAAAATATCAGAGCTATAGTTCAGCCTGCCAGGTGCCCCTTGTAATCACGGGCCGACCGAAAAAAGAGAACGCCGGCCGAGTCCTCGCTCGGGCCGGCCATTATCGTGTTAGGCAGGCCAGGACCTCTCGATCCCGAATCGTAATTTCCCGAACCGTGATTCCCGGCGGCCGACAGAGCCGACAGAACCGCAGGGGATCGCTCGAACGGTTCGGGGAATCGGGAACGTGGGCAGTTTCGGATTCGCGCGACGAATTTACCGGGAAACAGATGGCTCGCATCGGCTAACGATCGTTGCGTCTCGGCCGTAAAAATGGCCGCTTGCTCGGGTCGGCAGTTCCCAAGCATTATTATGTTTTTATTTAAAATATTGTAACAATAGATTATTTTTAGTTTCTTCAGGCATTCATTGTAGTACTGAAATGAAGCTTTTTTCAAAATCATTTCGAATATTCAATTCGAAGATATCAATAATTGCTGAACGATCGTTGCGTTTCGGCCGTGAAAATGGCCGCTTGCTCGGCTCGGCAGTTCCCAAGCATTATTATGTTTTTATTTAAAATATTGTAACAATAGATTATTTTCAGTTTCTTCAGCATTCATTGCAGTACTGAAATGAAGCTATTTTCAAAATCATTTCGAATATTCAATGCTTCGAAGATATCAATAATTGCTGAACGAAAAAATCGAAACCAGTCATTTCGACTGGTACGGGAGTTCTAGTGTTAACACGTTGAATTGTTTGGAGTCACCGGTGACAACCAAATTGAATTACTATAGATCACTCAATGGAACGATGATTATTTGGAAACATTTCTATATTATAAATAATAATAATTCAATTCAATGAAATGATTGAACACTTTGACTGCCACGGTCACCGATAACTGGAGCTTTCAAATGACAAGAAAATAATTTCGAGTAGAAATTTTCTGTAACGTTAATAACTAGATAATAGGGTAATAGAATTTTCATATCAAAGAATTGATAATTCTTGCTTTGTATCTTTGCTATATAAAGAATAAGTGATACATAAAGCAATATAAGTTGACCTCACCGAAAACTTCCACCATCACAGTTCAGTCTTCTGAAAACTACCCGGTACGCAATGCGTTAACGGGAACGGGATACGTGGTCGTTTCTCGGTATCGAGCCAATTAATAGCCGGCAGTTATTCCCTATCTTCCGGAAAAACAATGGCGGGCAACCTTGCTTGTGCGCGCCGATAAGGGAGAGATAACGATTGTCGCCGGCGACGCGGCTCCTGCCGCTGCGTCGTTCAGGAATAACGGCAGCGTTTCTATGTCCTTCGCAACTTTCACCCTCTCGTAAACAGCCTGGCAATTAGGCGAACCGACGCGGTCGTCAACGGCCTGACGACAGTCGTTTGTCTCGCGTCCCTTTCGGGGTGGCCTGCTGGCCATGTCGTAAATCCTTCACAGATGAAACGTCTCAGCAGCCTCAACTTTCATTGGATTTTCCTCATGCAGAACGAGAAGATTCAGCTTTAGCTCTGAAGACTCAGTTTCAGCCTGTAACTGAGAAGCGGACCATTAAGTTAAATATTAAAATAAAGAACTTATTGTGTACGAATTGGACCATTTGTTGAGAGAGACTCTTTGGGATTCACGTCTCAGTTGAGTGTTGAAAATGGAGAAGAAGTGTTGACAATATTTGCTGAATTTTAATTTGGTGCCACGGGTGGGGTGGTTTCCAATGACAGGCAGCAGATGGCAATGATGTTGGGAGATGCACGGGTGGATTTTCCTTGGATTTTCCGCATGCACGAATGAGAAGATTCAGCTGCCTGAAATTGAGAAAGCTGGTGAACACCGTTTGAACTTATGGGTATTGTATGAGAGTTGGGCCATTTGTTGAGAGGGACTCTTTGGGATTCATTTCTCAGTTGAGTGTTGAAAATGGAGGGGTGTTGACAATATCTTCTGAATTTGAATTTGGCGCCACGGGTGGGGTGGTTTCCAATGACAGGCAGCAGATGGCAATGATGTTGGGAGATGTACGGGTGGTAGCATGTGCAGGGGTCCTCCAGTGACAGCTGAAACCCAAAGTTGATATAAGCGATTGTTCTGTAAATTGTCAGAAGCGAAGGGACACCATGGAGCCGCAAGACATTTATTACAGTAAAGCGGAGTACGTCGAAACAGTAGGAAGAAAAAGATTGCAATCGAACGTCAGCTGGTGGAACGACGTGTACACTAACCTCACTTTCTCTGTTGACGTGCGTTTCAGGCGTCCGGGAACAAGGTCAGCAGGCAGACGGTTCTCTGCGGATCGCAGAACATCGTTTTGCATGGGAAGGTGATCGTGCAGTCGGACGCGATCATCCGTGGCGACCTGGCGAATGTCCGGACTGGACGTTACTGCATCATCAGTAAGAATGCAATCATCAGGCCACCGTTCAAGAAGTTCAGCAGAGGGTGAGTGGTTGTAGCGTTGAGCTGTCGGTTCTAGAAAACACTTTGTGATTAGATGTTCTTTTATAACGTTACGTCTTTTGATTGTTCAGGGTCGCCTTCTTTCCTCTGGTGATGGGAGACCATGTCTTTGTCGGAGAGAGAGCCATAGTGAATGCTGCAATGGTCGGTTCATACATATACATTGGGAAAGACGCCGTGATAGTATGTACAGATGGTTTTATTTCACTCTGTGCATAGCACAATGAAATAACAACGTTTCGTCGTACAGGGAAGGAGGTGCATCCTAAAGGACTGCTGTTACATCGAGGACGGCGCAGTGGTACCACCGGAGACCATAGTACCGTCGTTCACGCGCGTCGCCGGAAATCCTGCGAGATACGTCGAGGACCTACCGCACTGCACGCTGGACCTGATGCTGGACTTCACCAAGAATTACTATCAGCACTTTCTGCCGGCTCGCGTTTAACCGTTGCTTCTGTACATACATACCTTGTGCTTAGATTTCTATTTATTACAGTTTCTACTTGTTCACTGCATTTCTTCGAGTCTCTGATCTATTTCCAAGCTCTCTTCTACAACGATATCCTTCTTCCACGGCCGGTTTCGCCTGTGGAATAGCATCAGCATCTCAAGAAGACTGCTGAAATTAATACATTACCATTAACATTACCATCTGTGCCAGAGCAGTTCCAGTAGCAGCATAGCTAGACTGAACAACGCTCCATAACCCATTGAGACTATCGCAAAATAGCACTCTGTCAACCCGATGCTAATGAAGCCGGTCTGTCCCTGACACTTGGGTCGCCGCATGAAGAACCGATGCTCCTCCCTGAACTTGAGTCCAGTCTCGTGCATTCGGTGAGCCCTGGAAATCATCAGAATCACATCACCAGGCGCCTCGACGTGGCAACGAAGATTCCTCAAGTGTCTTACGCGTTCCTCACGATTTCTCTGTACGGCGAGTGCTTCTGCATCACCATCAGCGGGTCTATGACGTTCAGAAGATCGATCTGCTCGATGCCACACTTCTCGTCCTCCAAGAACGTCTCCTGCATCAGCTTGTAGGCGGATCCCACTTCAGCGTGGATGGCGAACAGCTCGGTCCTCATGCGACGCATGCCCTCTTCCAGGCTCATCCAGTTGCCCTTGTGGCCCTTCGGCTGAATCTTCTCCTCCACGATGGCCTTCCTAACCGGATCCCGGAATTGCTGCGCATTCATAGCAACAGCTTAAACGTTCCACGCTGATCCACCGTGACGCCAGGCTTACCGAGAAGTAGTACCGATTGTAGACAATGTCCTGCGCCCCGAGCTTCAACGGACTGTTCAGCAGGTCGGCGGGCGTCTTGATGGTGTCGGCCGTGGACTGCAGCAGGGTGACGATGTTGGCCGTGTAAGAAGCGTACAGGCTCAGCGCGGTGATCAGCAGCATCAAGGTGACGATGCGAGGAGGGACTCTGTACGGCTCGTAGTAGTAACCTGTTCAACGTGCCGGCGAAGTGGCTTCAGCTTCTCTGTCGCGAGTCCTCTCCGGCGAGATCTCTCACCTTGTTGGGCCATAGCTCCAAGCACGACCATCAGATTGTCGCTCAGCGTCTGCTGCGCGGGATTCAACGATTCCCAATACGCGGACGTGCCCAGACGGTACTCCCATTTCGACGACACGTACAGCAGCGCCAGAACCGCCAGCAGAAACACGCCGATCGCGATCCATACCGATCTTTGGAACGGCAACGCGAATATGTTGCTTATCATGGACAACAGCGGTTGACGGAATATGAAGGCTGACCTGCGTGATGTTTGGAACAGTTTGGATCACGGTTCGGTGAAGTTGTGGGACAGCCTTACCGCATTCTGGAGTACAGCTGCACGTACTCCAGCACGTCCAGTCTTTCCTTGATGAAGAACATCCCGGTGCCACCTATGTCGATCTCGCCGCGCTGCAGCAGTCCTACCATTCCGCTCCAGGAGCCGTTCTGGTCTTTGTATCCCCAAGAGTCCGTCATGCGGAAGCTGATGCTGATAGGAGGAAATTTAATTACATTCCGCTTCTTGCAAAAAGGAACAGAGTATACAGCGAATTACAGTTAATGATTCTGTTGTAAGCTTCATCAGTGGATTATGGGTAATGCAAAGCGTCATTCTTGTAGGTAAATGACTCAAATATCGAACAATCTGTACAGCAGAATTTCGTTTCCCAACGGTAATTCATTTTATACCAAAAATCTGACCTAACATTAGGTCAAATTTCATTGAGACATGCATTCTACTTGATACAGATTAAGTTTAGGAGCCATCACGCATATATCTGGCAATTAACATCATGCCATTTGAAAACTGATGCTAGAGATAAACGCGAAGAGGTAAACCGGATAACCATTGCAGTTGATTGCTGCATTCTAATATCTTCATCAGTAGATCACGGACACCTATGCAAATTCAGTGTACTACGTTAACGGAGGGAGATAAACAGAAAAAGGCTTACGTCGCATTCATTCTCGCCACCATGGTCAGCATCCAGGGATAATTGGCCTTCGTTATTGAATCTATGTGCTTATTTTCGTAATCGGTTAAGTGGTTGATCGTATCGGGGTCCGTTATCTGCGAACGCAAACGCGCACGGTTGATTTATCGGCGCCGGAGCCGCGCTCTTAAGTTCACCGTCGATTCGCCGGACGCGCGACACGATACGATCGCGATCCGATCGGTTCGGTGTTCTTATGTAAAACTAGTCGGAAACTTTAGAAAAGGGTTTATCGCGTCGCGGATGAATCAAATGTATCTTATCTCGATCGCGGTTCCGCGAACGACCCCGCGCGACCGATCCGTCGCCGCTGATCGACCGCGCGGCGACCGGTCCCCGATCGAATTCGCTCGTTCATCTTCGCGACGCGGTTTCCAGATACCACGAGGCAGGATCTCAGATGCGTCCCGGCCAGATCCCTCCTCCGTCGCGACGTCGGGAGCAGATCCCTCGGAAGAACGCCTCCGTCCGCCGTCCAGTTCCCTCGATCCTCCAGCACCACCTCGCTCAGAGGACCT